TTTCCTCCTGGTGTGCTTCTCAGGACACACTGTGCTGCAGACTGTGTTTGAGTGGTGTGCTTACTAAAAGAGTCACTAGGAGAGAAGGGTCAGGTTTGGGCTCCAGGCAGAACCCTATACCTCAAATGATATTTGAGTTTCCCCTGTTGTTCAGTGGTTTCTAAATGTTCTGATGTAACAAGACTTGGCCTAGTGGTAATGTGTTCTGATGTCAGCACTTCAGGTCACTGGTGTGCTGTGGGAAGGAGGAATATCACTAACTTGCTCCTTCGGTGCTCTGAGCCCAGTCCCTCACCAGCAGTGTCTGTATTTCTTCCATTATTCCACCACTATTTATTGAGTACTCATTAGGTGCTAATCATTTTCACTTCTCAACAAGTTTTCCTAATAGCTCACAGAAATAGATCATACCCTTCTGTTTTCTCCATTTTAAATTTGAGGAAAGTAAGTCTCAATAAAATTCAGTGATGACCCATGGGTGCATAGCTGGTTGATGATTGAGCCTGGTCTGTCTGGCCTTCAGAATGAGACCTATACTCGCATAGACAAGAAACAAACAGCGAAGCCAGGGCCCTGGGATTGTTTCCATTTTGTGCTGCTGTCCACAGCAGGGCTTTTGTTGGGAGTGGAATTCTGCATCAGGCTGGCACACAGAGTTAGCCCACTGAGATTAGTGGATCAGTGGGAGAAGCTGGACCCAATGCAACACAGCAACCATTGCTTTAATAGCTTCTTCCCCCTCCTCCTTTTCTGTTTTGAATTTTTAGGAACATGGGAGTGGAGCTTCGGATGCAAACCAGGCAGAAGGACACGAATCCAACTTGATTGCACGTTTGGCCTCCCAGCGACACACCAGAAAAAATACACAGGTTTATATCATTCTTTGGTTAAATTTAGATGAAGGCAGGTAGGAAAAGATGATCTAAATGAAGTGGTTTAAACAGCAAATGACAGGGCTAGAGAATTGTCTCAGCAGTTGAGTGGTTAGTGCACTTGCCGAGGACCCAGGTTCTGTCCTGGCCCCTAGATGACATGGCAGTTCACAGTCGTCTGTAACTCCAGTTCCAGGGAGTTATTGCCTCTTCTGACTTCCATGAGCTCTGCATACTCATATATACACACATACTGAGGCAGACGCATGTAACTATTGAAAAACCAGCAGCAACAGATGGCCATATTTCTAGCCTGGACTGGCTTATCAGACCTGATAATTGGTGGTCTTGGAGAGAAGACCCAGATCAGGTTTGCCCAAGGGCCCCTGTTGCTGCTCTAGAGCTCAAAAAGGGTGCTCTGCTGTCCAGCACCAACTAACCAGTCTTATTCTTTACATTGCTCATTCCTTTCCAAACTTAACAGTTTTTAAAATAGGGTATTCATGCCCATGAAATTAATATAGTCAAAAAGCAAACCAAACAGTCCCCTAAAAGCTACATGCTGCTCTGTCCCCAGACCACCAAAGGGACCTTTCACAGAGCAAGTCAGTGCCACCAGCTTCACATATACATTTGTATGTTTCTTTGCTTCTTTGCTTTCTCAAATGTATTAGTTATATCATAGATCCAGTCATGGTGGCATATACCTTGTATATGTATGCCTATGCATTTAGAAGGCAAAAGCAAGAAGATCTGGAGTTTAAAGGTTGTCTTAGCTACATAGAAAATCCAAGGCCAGTCTGAGCTCCAGGGTGGTGGGGGAACCAAAAAAACAAATTTTTAACAAACTGTATTGAATTCCATTGTTGTGGCTATCCCTAACTGACCCACTCCCTATGGATGAGCATTGGCTTTTTTTGAGGTTTTGCCATTGCAGACAAGGCTCTGATGTTTTCATTCATTCCTGCAGAGTTTTAAGAGGAAACCTGGGCAGGCTGACAATGAACGCTCCATGGGTGACCACAATGAGCATGTGCATAAGAGGCTGAGGACTATGGATACAGACAGAACCCCTGAGCAGGAGCCAGCCCAGCCCCAGCCCCAGTCCCAGGCTCAGGTGGAAGACTCCGACACGTTTGAACATATTAAGCAAGGCAGTGATGCATACGACGCCCAAACCTATGGTATGGTGCCGGGACTCCTACTCCTTTTGCTCACAAAGCATTCTCTGACATTATGTAGTATGACTCTGTGTACTGGGCAAAGTAGCTTTTTAAACTATTTTCTCTCAATACAGGTTTTGTGTAAAACAGAAATAGAACTTTTTTCTGGTACTAAGATAACTGTAGCCAAGTGTCAATAGTCAGGTTTCTTCGGGTAAGCCTTCTGTTCTCACCGACAGCTGGCCATATGCTATAAACCTGGAGCTGATCTTTCATTTCTTGGTATTGAACATTCTTGAATGTCCTTGAACAGTGAACAGTTATAATAGAAACTGGAAGGTGAAAGTTGGTGGCCAGGCATCCCAGTTCCCTTGTCTTTCATTCCTCTTTTCCCAAAGTGAACTGGTATGGGTGATGTGTACGTCTGAGCACAGAACAGAAACAATGATGATGCTTTGTTTCTCTTACTGTATTTGGAACAGCAAAAGAGAAGGTTGATCACTGTACATATAGTTGGTTCAGATCCTTCCTGGGCTTGTTCCTTCCTCACGTTAGGCAGTGTGCCTTAGCCTCTAGTAAGGAAGACCCCACTATGGATCCCTGTGTAACACTGGATTGGATCTCCAATGTTATAAACACAGAATGCTTTGAATACGATGGGCAGTGGATAGTGAATGATGCTGAGGTCTGATTGTTCATTCAGTTGATAAGAGTGCTCACCTAACATGCACAAAGCCCTGGATTTGATTCCCAGCACTGCATAAAGCTAAGTGGGGTGCCTCCGTCCCCAGCACCCCAGAGCAATAGAAGTTCAAGGTCATCCTTGGCTACATAGCAGGCTTGTGGCCTGTCTGTATTATGTGAAGTCCTGTGTTCTGGGAGAGAAAGACACACACACACACACACACACAC